CAGGCTGATTTTGGGCAGGAATGCTCAAGGTATCCTTAAACCTCCTCTTGTATTTCTGAATATGCTCTCCCAGCATCGATCGATACCGCTCCTCCGTCATGTGTGCCCCGTAAAAACCACTCTTCTCCTCGTTGTCACTGTTCATAGACCACCTCCTCTTCTTCAACAAATTCACCTCCCTTTCATGCACATTCCCATTACTGTGATTTGCAATCCCCCCACCTACTCATGGAAGCATCACAAAGACACGGAACACACTCATATTCAAGTCCAAGTTGACAAACAAACAACCACTCCCTAGTCAAACAGTAGTATCCACATGCAATCATGAAAATCCAAGTAACAGTCTCATATAAAAACCGAAGCATAGTAATAGTGTCTACCTTGGCTGTCTCTGCTCTCATCCTGACTACTATTCCCATAATAATCAAAATCATCATCTTGTTCTGGAAGTTGAAAGTTCATCAAAGACTACAAACCCATGCAATCAGAAACAGCTAAAAGTAAATAACAATATCCTCGAATTTTATTTTATTTTTTTCAAAAGAAACTGCAAATGACTAAAACTCAATTCAAATAAATCCTACAAGTACATCATAGTAAAGGCCGAAAGAAGCGAATCCAGAGAGAAACGGTGAGAAGAAGCACAATGATTTCCACGAAGAAGAGAAATGGAACGGACCTCGAGATTGAAGAGAGTGGAGTAAGAGAGTGAGTCCTTGTTTTTCAGTCTGTGATCCATGCGCTGCGACTACGATGCGAAGAAAGAAACTCTAGTTCTGGAACGAACCATGAAGAAGAAGAAGAAGAAGAAGAAGAAGAATAGAAGAAGAAGCGTAACCCTAAAAGGAAAAAAGGGGAACAGAGTGGTGCGCAGGATAAGGCGAGGGAAAAAGACGAGAAAGAAAATGGAAGCACTGATGCTGGCTAACGTGCGCCAGACAGGTGACATTTACGCTAACGTGCGCTGCGCTGGATATTTCCATTTTGACGGTGGAATTTGCCGTGTATAGACGGCGAGAAGAAACACGAGGGAAATGGAATTATTTGTTGGAATACCAATGTAAAAGTTAATTTACACATTTCGTATTTTATCTTTTTTTTTAATTCAATTTAGTTTCTTATCATTCAAAAATAGTTTCTTATATTTTAAAAGGGACCCTAAAGGGTTCTTGTCATCACGTCTACATGATGTTCGTTAATTGTTCAAATGAAAAACTTTAGGATGTAATATTCAAGGTTTACAATGAGTCATAAATTTGAAACATCCCTTATTTTTCTTAGAAGTTGAAATTTCAATGAGTAGGTTAGTTAAGTGGCAGAATTGTCAATGCCACAATGCTTGAGCATGGTTAAAAGTTGTATTTGTTGTTTGTGATCCATATGGCAAAGTTTGGTCAAAAGCTTGTTCGTGAAGAAGGATCAAGCAGTTACTTTTGATCAATAAGTGCCACAAAGTGATGTCCTTTTATTATTAATATAGATTAATTAATAAATCATTATAATTATAATTATTTCATAAAATGTAAACTTTTCCAATTCATTCCACCAAACTCTAGTATGGCCATGTAGCATTAGGTTGACGAGTATAATTGATAACATTTTAAGTTGATTTTTAATTTTTTTTACTAATCGAACAGGCTGTTTGACTATATTAATAGTGTGGTAAATAAATTTATTTTGGTGATTTGTAATGAGATGTGCATTCAACAAATCTTGTCACAATTTATACAAAATACATCATTTTTTTATAATTATCTTTCTTAATACATCATTTTTTATAACTATCTAAATTGATTGCGGTCAACTAAGATCTTAACTATTAAACTAATGTGACAATCAATATTTAATGAGAGTAATTTTAGATATTTTCTTTTATTGGAGTATTTTTAGAATTTTTTTGGTTTCAAAAATTTTAATTTTGTATCAAATAATGAAGTAAGAGGGGACTCTCTTCGATGAAGTAATAATGGAGGTTGCACAAATGGAGGTCCTGCTAATATGGAGAATTTGGTTGGCACAGAATTCATTCACATTTGCAGCAATAAGAAAAGAAGTGTAAGAGATAGTATGATAGTAATAATGGTAAAGATCCACTTTTGTGAGTGGAAAGTCAACGGGGATTACACTATTAATTGATGAGTTGCATCCTCAATCTCAGTAGTATGTTTAGATGAAAATTTAAATAAAGTAATTTATTTATTTGAAAAAATATTAAATTTTTTTAGATGAAAATATTTTATTTGGATGAAAAATTTATAAAGAATTTAAAATTTAAGTATTTGTAAAATTTTTTGAAATGGTAGAATTTTAAATTTTTCCAGAAAAGAGAATTTGAAATTCTTTATATTTTTTTCTTCTTATTTCACTTATATATTTTATCTTATTTCTTATCTTTTTATATTTTTAATTATTAAATATTTAAAAATATTTTTTTTTATAAAATTTAATTTAAAAACCTTAACATATAAATATATTTTTAAAATCAATTTTAAATTGTCATATTCAAGCACTTACAATTTGAAGAAGGTACGGTATGTAGAAAGGGTGGGTGGAGAAGGAAAAAATGAAACAAGGTTTGGGAGAAGGGTAAGTATGGACGTTTTTTGACCGACTCTTTTATAAACTTTTTTTTTTTTGTAAATGAAATTGTTTTAAAACATTCTTATTTTAAAATTGTTTTAAATAGTATTATTATAAACTATAATGATATTAGTGATAAATAACATTTTCTTAACTAATAAAAATCACAATTATAATGACTTTAATTAAAGTCATCATATATTATGAGTTATGGTGTCTCATTAAATTTTTTTTTTTTTTTTACTTTTAAAGGGGTTGTTGTGGATTATAATTATAGTACTCCCATTAATTTTTTTTTGGTTGTCGTGGACTATAATAATTTCAGTTTAATCTTTTTTTATCATACATTCCGTCAATCAGAATGTGTCATATGACACTATCGTTTAAAAAAAGGAAAATGCTGCATCCTCCGAAAGGAGAAGTCGATATTTCTTTCGAATTATTAAAAAATTAATTTAAATAATAAAATATTAAATTTAATAATTATTTTATAATAAATATATTAAAAAATAATAATATTTTAATGTTTCGGACACTAATTTGAAATACCTTTCGGCCTCAATAGCAGTGCTCTTAAAAAAAAATTGGAAGGTTACTGTGAATTGCAGCAAATCTAGTTAACCTTCTTTTTACCACACATTCTGTCAACTAGAATGCCTCACGTGATCCCAAATACTAAAAAATAATTCTTTACCCCTTTTTATAAAGGATTTCACCCTTTAGTAGGTTTCTCTTTTAAAAAATAAGTTTTAAAAAAATTAAAAGTAAAAAATAAGTATGTAGTTATGATCAACTACAACACACAGACACAAAAAAAATTGTAGATGTGACTCACAGCAACACACAAACAAAAGAAATAGTATAGTTGTGACTCACAACAATACACAAAAACAACAAAAATAAATTAGTATAATTGTGATTCACAACAACACAAACATACATATATATAACTAGACTCATAGTTAAGGTAGCTTGTGTTACTATAGAGTATGATGACTCATTTTGAGTCGTTATAAATTATAACAACTCAAGATTAATAATTAAAATTGACCATATATCATAGATATCGTTGTGGACTACAATAATATTGTGTAAAACAATTTAAAAAAATGTTATATATTTCAAAACAATTCCATTTACATAAAAAAAATGTAAAAGAACTTCACAGCAGTAAAAAAATCAACTGTGGAGGAATAAGTTTAAAAACAATGATATATAAAAATAAACTCATTTTGTGCCAAAAAAAATTTTTTATCACAAGTGAATGTTGTTGGTTGGTTCAAGGTGGCATTAAGATTAGTTCAAACATTATTTAATTTTATAATTTCATGTAATAATTTTTAAAATACTTATAATATTTTAAAATTATATAATATATATATATATATATATATGAATTTGTACATCGCGCGTGTCAATATATCTAGTTTCAATAATATGACCTAGTTTCCATTTTACTATCATTCTTTTGGAGTACGAGGACATGAAATTATGCAAGTTTAGAGTCAGAATACATGAAAAGAAAAAGAAGAAAAAAAACTTTAGAGGCATAAAAAAGTTTTATTTTTAATACCATTCTTTTGGGGCACGAGGATCTGAAATTATATGTTTAGAGTCAAAATACATGAAAAGAAAAAAAAACTTTAGAGGCATTAAAAAATATATTTTTACTATCATTCTTTTGGGGCATGAGAACATGAAATTATGTAAGTTTTGAGGCATAAGAAATTGAGAAAACTAGAAGACTAAAGTGCAGTTAAGCCTTTTCAATTTTAAAGTTTAGAAAACAATTTAACCAATCACTATAATTTCAAGACTAAATTAAAGGATACTTGACAATAAACAATTTTAAGAATTATTTTGACATTTTATTTATTTTATGGATTAATTTTTATAAATATATTATTAATATGAAATATTTACACATTTTATTAATAATTAATTTTTATAAAAAAAAATTGACTAATCCACTTTTAATGTCTTTTTTCCTAACCATGCGTATTTTATTTATAAAATCAAATTCAAGATATTATTTAAAAAAATTAAAATTAAGTATATTCATACAAACGTGGTTGATATTTTAAGAACCAATTAAACCATCCATTACAATTTTGGGAGCTAAAATAATAGATAATATACAATTCAAAAATCATTGCCATTTTAAAAAGGTGACCAACTATTACAATACGGAGTAAATTAATGATTCCCTCGCCCAAATTATGATTACCACCTAAACCAACCAAAAGACAAACAAATCAAAGCCACTGACTACCAAAACATGCACACCAAAAATCCAACTTAAGACACAATAAAGATCATCATCCCAATTGCTTGACCGTGCTCTCTGATCTAGTCTTTATTTGTCCATACTCCGTACAAACAACTCTTGTCGTTCTCTACTTTATTGCCTTCTGCACATCTTCATACAATTATTCAAGTAGGCTTTTCATTCTCCTTAGGAGTATATAACCAAATTTGTCTTCCATCAAGTTCCTGTGTTGGCCTTGCATTTTTCTCATATCCCTGTGAAACAAATATATACGTCTTTAGATAAGGCTTGTAGTTGCACTTGTTTATGCTCACTTATTGGGGGATGGGTTAGGAACCACATTGGCAATTCAAGTTGATCAACACTTTCAAAAGAGAAATTCAGGCTTCTTGAAAAATATTTGCTTTAGGCAACTTCAAAGTTTTAACAAAGCCTATAGAATAACCAGTGTCATCGTGATCTTTGATATTGTGAAAAAGTTATAAATAAATGTGATTGATGCAACCACAATTATGGTTACTAAGACCTCAAAAACCTTAATATTGTGTATGCAATTGTGATTGTGGAACTTGACTAGGTTTTATAACATTCGGTAAAATAAGTGATGTGATATATTTTGAATTATATATTATGTTTTTCACTAAACTTATGTACTATGAAATTGCATTCATTTCTTGTGCCACTATTCGATTTTTCAAAACCTTGTCTTTAGTTGATAAATCTAGTGCGTGCTTAATTTACTTACACGATGTACAGCTTCTTTCAAGGCCCTCAGCTGCTCCCTTGAGACTGTCCTCACCTGCAATACACATGAGTTTAGAAAAAGGGTGTGTCCAGTTCAAATAGTCTTCACTAGTTAAGAAAATCACGTGAAAGTACATAACCTTCTTCACTATTGTCCAAATGACTCCTTCAGTGCATGGTGGAGTTGTAAGAGAACCAATATATCTGTAGTACTTTCTGCTTCCAAACTTGATGTCTCCTGGGTTGATTACTCCTAAATCTATTTCCTTGTCGCCAATTGATTTTATGTGGTTCAGCA